CACACATACACACACACAAACACACACACACAAACACACACACACACACACACACACACACACACACACACACATACACAGACACATCACTCCCACGCTTATGCACAATCGTTCGAACACAGATGCACACGTAGTTGCACACATTCAAACTCATGCACACAATACCGTGCCCACACGTTCTATATAATGTGCTTTACTCATCATGGTCATTGTGTCCGTGATTCTGAAGTACGAGTATTGCAAGTTCCATGAATAGAAGTCTTTAACGAACATGTTTTGAAAGATAGCAACGGGGCGCAGAGAATTTCAGCCTTCGTATGGGCAGAAAAAATCGCCAGCGAACTTCCCAAACTCAGATTACCCGAGTATTTTTCAGGAGAGTTGGAAACACGTAACTGTGCGTTATGCCCCTTAATATGACCGTCTATCGACCTTCTCTGCGATAAACCTCAATTTTAGCTTATAAAAATAAGATATATCTTTATTGTCCAGATCCATTGGTTTGGTGTTTCCCCACTCATACTCAACACGCACAAACGCTCTCGCACACACACACACACACACACACATACACAAACACACACACACACATACATAAACATGCATACACACGCAGGCTTACATCCACGTGCATAATATAAATGAACAGAAATATAAACAATTATAATGTTAAGCTAGATTCTGATTGTCACTAAATGTTATTTTGATGCATGCTTTAAGGTCATATGAATACTTCTAACAAGTTAAGATGTTCGTTGTTGTTGTGTTTTTTTCTATAGGTTTTGGGGGTTTTTTGCAGGTCAGGTCGATTTGTTTTCTTTGCTATCAGTGTTTGTAGTAGTTGGTGGGTTTTTTTAATTTCTGCTACTACGTAGAAAGTCTTTCATGGCAAATAAAAAAGTCGTATTGATACAGGAATGTTTAGCTTGCTGGCGGGTAGTAAACGAGAAGAATAGGAAAGAAGGCGGAGGCAAAATGCCGAAGAAAATATAACATTTGTACGCCTTAGCATAGATGTTCATGTGCGAGGGGACTGTGCATATGGCGGGTAGTAAACGAGAAGAATAGGAAAGAAGGCGGAGTCAAAATGCCGAAGAAAATATAACATTTGTACACCTTAGCATAGATGTTCATGTGCGAGGGACTGTGCATAAAGTAAGATCTAATTATTTATTCAGTGGCCATTTTGGCCAAACTTTTTGGACAGACCTCGTAGGGCCTACACAATGTAGCTATTAGAGACATTTCATTGATTTCTGCCCAGCAGTTGGGGTTTTTTTTTCTCTACGCTGCATTTGCTTTTTGTTCGTTGTTTTTTGTTTTTTCCTACACTGCAGTTCATTTATTCTTCTTACCCTCAGCCACCGGGGGTGGAAGGGGGGGGGGCTTTCAACTAAATTGATTGATGCAAATAACAGTGTTTTCTATCGTGCCTGGAATTAGTTGAAAGAAATTATCTGTCTAATCCTCAGAGCTTTTTCTATTCGTTTTTCGTTAGGGACCTCGGGTGTTTCCCACGAGCCCGGGGCGTCCCAGAACTAACAGAAAATTGAGAAGAGTGGCTGGATAATTAACATTTCTCCTGGTCTGTCCTGTGTGTTTTCTTTAGAGCATCTGAAAGGCCCTTGTTTCTTCGATTTGTTTGCCCCCTCCCCTCTCCCCTGCTCCCTCCTGATAGCAGGTGGTTGGAGAGAGGACTCCACTGGTGAGTCCTATTTCTTTACTTCAATTCAATTGTTTCTGTCAGCTTGTCCAACTTTTTTGCGTGCACAATAAAATGGCCGTTACTGTATCGATTTGTTTCTCAAATTAATGAAGGCCGATAGCTCAAATGAATTCACCCTGGCTGAGTTGCGGAGAACCCAGGTCTGAATCCACAACGGCGCACACAAGAACCTGAGTTGCTTGAGGAGTTGTCGAGGCTTTCCGTCCTCTTAGCCCGGGCCTATCGGAGGTGACATTAAATCCGGAAGCACCGCCACTAAAATTACCTTTAAATGTTTATCGTTACGTTCCACCCGTTCCACATTCGATACCGTATGCGGGGATAAATAAAGCTTAGTAAATAGAACTCTAGTCTCGAATGCCAAACATCCTTTAGTTAAATTCCGTCCGAATCTCATGGGGGAAGGTGCTTCTTCTTCTGTCTTCTTTTTGTAAGTTTCACACTTCTGTTGATAGTTAAAAAGGGCAGATGCAGACTGAATGAACACTGTAAATTTCAAACGTAAAAAAAAACGAAAAATGTATGCCTACATGTGCATCTCTGTTTTACAAGCTTGGAAGAATAAAGATGCCGCCTTCTATTATTCGTGTCTAGTTCAATTAAATTCTGAAATTAGTATTTGCTACACTGTAAAATTCGTGAATTTCGTTTACATTATTTCTGTTTTATCGTTCCTGTTAATTAAAGTTCAATGCCTCCCGCCGATGGTTGGAGAGCACAACTGAAAAGTCCGATTAATTTCTTTTTTTTTTCAGTTTCTTCTAGTCTATTGTTTCTGTCTATCTAATACTTTTTTTCTATAACTCACTGGCCGTTATCATGTCAATGTGCCTATAATATCTTCTCTCAGACTAAAAGCTACCTTCGATATATTACCTCCCAATACTGTTCAGTCCTGAGAGGTGGGCCCAGAACTGAAGTGGGAGGACTAATGTATGAGACTTACCGTATTGCCTAAATTGAAACGTCATTTTCGAGATTGTCGAGGTTCGTTGAATGAGCTGCTATGGTGATTTCCTTTTTATCCCGCAAGTGAGTTGCTATGGTGATTCCCTACTTATCCCAAACGTTTCTTTACGAATGTCTTCATTTAGCGGAGTCTGCAATCTCTCTGAATGTCAATGAATATCTTACGGATTCAACTGTACTGTGTGCGACCTCGGTATCATACTCTCTCTCTCTCTCTCTCTCTCTCTCTCTCTCTCTCTCTCTCTCTCTCTCTCTCTCTCTCTCTCTCTCTCTCTCTCTTTATCTATCTATCTATCTATCTATCTATCTATCTATCTATCTATCTATCTATCTATCTATCTATTTCACTCTTTTTTAAATCTCTCCTCCTCTCTGTTTGTGTTTTGATTATCTATTTCCTCCCTCCTATCTCACAGTCTATATAATATTTCGTACATTTATATGCATAATTTATATATATTATATATAAATTATATATATATATATATATATATATATATATATATATAACGTAGACATTCAACAAAGGACAGAATGATACGACAATAATTATTTGATTATAATGAAACTTGATCATTGAAAGCCTTGCTTGAGCATTGATGGACATGTCTTCGAATCCAGTAAAAGTTCCATAGCATCACGCCACGGGTTGTACAGCTGTTTCTTACTGCAAGCCAAGCAAAACCAAAGCAAATATTTGCACTAACAAACAGCAAAAGTGCGGTTTACGTAAAGACTTAGTTTACCGTCTTTGACAAGACCTATTTGATTCAAAGAAAAGTTTTCGCGGAAACCAGAATGAAGCCAAAGTGTGCTGTGGGAAAGGGTGCTCTATATTGTGACGGCATTGTAGTACTTGGCCATCATATAACGCTGTGAAACCATAGATAGATAGATAGATAGATAGATAGATAGATAGATAGATAGATAGATAGATAGATAGATAGATAGATAGATAGATAGATAGATAGATAGATAGATAGATAGATAGATAGATAGATAGATAGATAGATAGATAGATAGATAGATGGATGGATGGATGGATGGATGGATGGATGGATGGATGGATGGATGGATGGATGGATGGATGGATGGATGGATGGATGGATGGATAGATAGATAGATAGATTGTATTTGAGTGTATATATGAGATTATGCAAGACTCACCTGCCCTCAAGAATCGTTTTGGCGTGAGTGACATCACGAGGCATCATTGGCGATGATCAGTTTCCTCCCACCTCTGCTCTCAGCTCTCTGTGTGTGATGCTGCAGTCCTCTCCTTCCTGTCGTTTCTCCTTCTCCTCTTTGTCACATACACACACACACACACACACACACACACACACACACACACACACACACACACACACACGCTCAAACACACGCACACACGCACCCACTGTCTCTCTCTCTCTCTCTCTCTCTCTCTCTCTCTCTCTCTCTCTCTCTCTCTCTCTCTCTCTCTCTCTTCTTCCCGCTTTGCCTAGTTGTCGTCGCCTTCTGTAATGTTATGTTATGTTACGAATTCCTCAGTTACTCTCTTTTTGGAATGATTGCACTGTCCTGTTAGAATAAACGAAGACCTTTCCCTGGCAAGTCTCCTTCACCACGAAGTAGGCACAGAAGAATGCGTTCACATGTGCAAGTAATCCAGAAATTGTGAGAATCCCCGGGTTTATACTTCAAATGACTTGATGACTGGAAATATTGTGTCACTTCCGGTTATAATCCTTTTTGCACAAAAATCAGAAAAGATAACATAAAATTTGCTTTGACTTTTTTTAAATTCTCACCAAAAAACAACAAACAAACAAACAAACAAAGAAAACAGCCTCACTGTATAATTTTTTCAGTTAGAGTTTTATGGCACTTGCAAGGGGGCTCTCGTGGCCTAGAGGTTAAGGTGTTGGCCTCTCATTTAAAAGGTCCCGGGTTCGAATCCGGGTAGCGACAAAAAAAATTTCTTTCTCTAAAATTGTCTCCTTTCACATCCTTTCCTGCTCTCTAGCAATGTTCTGTTGTCTGCTTTCATTTCCACTTTCTGCACACACACCCTCTCCTCCTGTGCCCCCTCCTCTGGGCTCCTGACTCTTTCTGCAGCCTTTCTACTGTTACTTCTTGGCTCCTCCTTACTGTTGTCTTTCAAATGAATTACTTCTGTCTTTAAATACAGATCTTTTTGGTTTGAGTTATTTTTGCTTGTTTGCGTTTTTGTTTTGTTTTGTTCGCTTGATGGTGTTTTTTTTCTTTTTCGAAGAGAATAGTGTTCCAGTTTCTAGTGAACTGTCTGTGATCATCCATGTATTATAATTTTATTAAAAGTTTTGGTTTAAAAAATAATAATAATTTTCCGCCTGGGTTCGTTCCATATAAAATGACTTGAGTAGGCGGTAAATATTTCGACAAGAGCATTATGAATCCTGTCTTGTTTTAATTTCGTTTTGACCGAATTGCTAAGAGATGCTCAGAACATACAGATTGTCGAAAGAACCGCAGATTTATTTGACTGAGTATATTATTAATGTAAGATATTATCTAGACAGCCAATCTGCCTACATAATTTGACGGATTCGGTTCTGAAGATCTTCTGAGTGCGCGTTTGATTATGATTTCTGTGGAATGCTCTCAAGGCCGTGAGAGGCATTTACCGTAGGGCTTAATCTATTATCGAAAATCAGTAGCACAAATTAAATGTGTTAAGGGAATGATATGATCTCTTTGACGAGCAAAGTGTTTGCGAAAGATCATATTCATTTTTTTTTAAAATCCAAGTCATGCCCCTATGAGGCTTAGATAAATGTGACGTTGCCAGTAAGGAGTAGGGATGAAAAGACGGTCATGGAGAGCAAGAAAAATTGTAGTAAAGACTTTTCTTTGTCTTTCTCTTTTACATCTTACGGATCCTCCTTGTAATATATAAGTTTGCTTTGTTTGGTTGTGTGTGAATGTTTCTTCTAGATTACGTAATACATGTGTGTGTTCAGCTTGTTTGCTTTGTCTGTGTGTGGAGCCTTGTGTACGTGTGTGTGGAGCCTTGTGTACGTGTGTGTGGAGCCTTGTGTACGTGTGTGTGGAGCCTTGTGTACGTGTGTGTGTCTGTATGTGTGTATGGATTTTTTTCCTGTGCTTTACGAGATTGTTCATGTAAGTGAGTTTTCCTATCATGTTTGTGTTTCCATTTGCTTGGTGCGTGTGTGTGTTTTGTTTGTTTTGTTTTTGTTTTGTTTTGTTTTGTTTTTTGTTTTTCAAACCAAAACGAAAACGAACCGACAATGTTTGTGAAGGGCGATAGACGTGTCATGGGAGCTAACTGTCGACGTGATCGATTAGACGAGTTATTGAACCTGATCCCCCCTTGCTATTTCCGCTCTAATTGTTTCGGTGTTTGTGTTATGTTTTGTGGTGTGGTGTACCGCGCGTTGGGGGACCTGTAAACTACGACGTAGTTTTTTCCGTTATAATATAACTTTGAAAGAGGCAAAGATTGGTGGATGAAAATGTTGATCTTCATTTTTTAGCATTAGGGTAGACTGCAAAGTGTTTTTCTGCGTCATTGTTTCCTTCTGTTCATTGTCTTTTTACCCAATGCCATCGAAGATAGCAGCTGCTTGTGGTTGAAATGTGCGTATAATTTGACATTAAACTTTTTGAAGTTACTCGAAAAGGTCACGTCGGTGTGTAACGAGATGCTACAAAATCTAGAGGTTTCTTCACGCGTGAACTGATTGATTTTGCTCTGCTTTGAAGACAAAATGTCAACTCGATTCCTTCTTTTGTATTACAACATAAGAGTTGACTACTCGACATTCAGAAACGTTTGTTGAGATCTTACTGTTGTTACTGTTTTGGCATCACATCTCTCCCTTTAAGTACAGCGTTGAAGGCTGATTGGAACGAAAAGTCGATTTTAACCTTACGCTGTATGAGAGTAGCGAAAAGGTTGATTGTCGTATGAGAAATATAATTGCGGCGGAAATTTCCAGCTGAACGACAGAACGTTGCTCAATTACAGGGAAAGGAGCAATGATAGACTCATTTTGTTAAGAATGTCAGGTTTGATCGTTACTGTATGTTTAAAGTGCTGGTGCTCTTTATATGAAAATATCGACTTTAAAAGTTGGAGAAATAGTTTCTTTAATTCTACTATCCTTTGTTTCTGCTTCCTACTCTTTAGTTTGTTAGTTTGTACATTTAGTATTTTCCTCGTTTTTCATGGGAATTCTTCATTCGCTCTGCGTGCGCGTACGTGTGTGTGTGTGTGTGTGTGTGTGTGTGTGTGTGTGTGTGTGTGTGTGTGTGTGTGTGTGTTTGTTTGTGTGTGTGTGTGTGTGTGTGTTTGTGTTTGTATGTGTGTGCTTGTGATTTCTCACGCTTTGGGAATGGGGACAAATTTGTTTTTAATTGCGTTTGTTTTGGTCTTTTTTTCTTCTTGTGTGTATATAGGATGGGATGCGACCGGACTAGGATTTGCCCCACAAGTCTAGGATAATATCACTAGCCCTTGACTGGCACGATACGTATTGTCCCAACTATCGGTCTAAACAAGTTTCTGATTTCAGCGGACAGAATAATCGCTAATGATTGTAAATCTTTTACGCCGCCATCAACTCAATTCTGATCGTTTAGGAATATGTAGCGGGATAGTTTTACTTCGACTCAACCTGTCAGAGCCAACAGGATATTGTTGAAGTACAGCATCCCAGCAGAAACATACCCACTAAGATAAACATTTCCATTCGAACTCACTTATCATATGCGAGAGGCTAAGAGACTAAGTCTTATCACTGAAGGCATCATGATAGCAGAATAAGTTATTTTAGTAAAATACAGACCCCGGTTGTGCTCCTTTTCTTGTTGGCCAAATGCAGGAGAACGATAACTGTTCATCTTCTTGTAGCAGCAGATAAGTATAACTATAATATCCGAGCTTGTGTTTTTCTGTGGTTTAAGATTTTTAACGATAACTATTGATCTTCTTGTAGCAGCAGATAAGTATAACTATAATATCCGAGCTTTCGTTTTTCTGCGGTTTAAGATTTTTAACGATAAATATTGATCTTCTTGTAGCAGCAGATAAGTATAACTATAATATCCGAGCTTTCGTTTTTCTGCGGTTTAAGATTTTTAGTGACGCGGCAACGTCGTGTATGTCTTTCCATGACGTCAGTGACATTTTTAGCACTGTGAACTTCTTGCGTCCTTCTGGAAACTGGCTGGGGCCGATTGTCATCATATGTATGAAATCTTGACGCCGTCTGCCAGTGATGATTGCCACGGTAAACCCTGCAATTTTCGTCCTCCTTCAAGAAGTGACCTTTTACGTGTGTTTCAGCTCAGGCTGTTCGGTTTTGCTGATTTTTGCTTGCTTTTTTATCATGAATAAAAATGTGACATTTTCTGATGGCATCTCCTACTTCTTAAGTCTACTGGGAGTGGGTTTCATAAAGGAAAGACCCGCGTATATAATGTTTTATATGTAAATAATGAGGTCTCATTTGTTTTGTATCGAAGCAGAAAATGCTAGCGGAGATGATTTGCAGTAGATGGATAAGAGACGGTATTACCCTCATAGTTGGGTTTTAAGAGTCGCTAGATTTTTTTTTCTGTTTTTGTTTAGGTTATTTTAGGAGGTGGTGGGTTCTTGCTGCAGATTGTTTTGTTTTTGTTGCTTTATATTCTTATCTTAGCATGTTTAGAAGAAGTGGTCCCGACAACGTATAGACACTTGTTAAAGCTTTAACTTATGTTTGCCTTCCTTTCCTCTGCATCTCTTGTCCCCGCCCAATCCTTATGCCTCCTCGTCTTTGCCTCCTCTCTCTCTCTCTCTCTCTCTCTCTCTCTCTCTCTCTCTCTCTCTCTCTCTCTCTCTCTCTCTCTCTCTCTCTCTCTCTCTCTCTTTTTTTTTTAACACCCCCCTCTCCTTTTTGTGGATAGTAGTCGTATGGCATTTGCTTAGTTGCTAAGATTGTATTTTTACCTTTGAAGTAAAGGTTATGTGTCGGTAATTGGAGGGTGCTCTATTATGGTTTTCTCCTTCTTTCCTATCAAACATCTATAGTCGTTATCACTCCTCCTTTTTTGTGTGTCTGTTACTCTTTTGTGACACCTCTAATCTTCAGTACTTATGAATTCAATTGTACAGCAAGCGTGGAAAAACTTGTACTAAAACAAAAGGTTGTCGGCTGTAACTTGCGGGTGGGTGGGTGGTGGTGGGGATGCTGCCGTTGTTTTTCTTGTTTTTGTTGCTTTTTTTCAATATATGTTTTTGTGATGTTGTGGAGCGGAACTGGCCAGAAATATTAAATTGTTGTTGTTCCCTACTTGTACCAAAGTAATGAGTGCTTTTTAATGTTGTCGTAAACTAGAGCAATGTATTGACTTTCTGGAAAATCTTCTTTTGATTATTTTGGTAAGTGTTTAACGGTGCTCGCAACTGCATACGGTCATATTATCGCGCGAGACACATTAAGCATTCTCAGTTTGGATGGAATTAATTTTGAATTTGGCATGGGTGGCGGCCGATGCCTATTCTTATCGATTTTGGACCACGGGACCTCCAAAATATTCGCCCTTATCCGAGAACCTTGGGTGTTAGATCGTACCTACCTTAAGATCAAGGATGTGGCTGAAAGACAGCAGTAAAAAGGAGCCAAGGAGTAGCAGTAGAAAGGCTACAGAAAGAGCTCGGAACCCAGAGGAAGGGGCAAAGGGGATGGGGGGGGGGTCAGAAAGTGCAGTCGAAAGCAGACGACAGAACATGTTGAGAGAGCAGAAAAGGGGGAAGTGTAAGGAAAAAAGTTTTAGGAAAGAAAATTTTACGTCCCTGTCAGGTTTCGAACCCGATTCTTTATGGAATGAGAGGGGAACACTGTAACCTCTAGACTACGAGAGCTCCCTGCAAATCTTCTCCAAGCTTAAGATTAATAATACATGTTATTTGAACTTTTAAACGTATCTATTATCTATTTGTGGTGGCCGAATTTTGCTGTTCAAAAGGCTTTTTAATGGCTGCATCGATCGACATGCGGTTTTCGCCAAAACATTCTTTAAAATATTCTCCAGAGCATGACGCCCTTGGTTTTTTCACTTTGCTGCAAAAAGCTAAATTTCTTTATTTCGCCGATCGCTTTTGTAGGCCAACGCTTCTGTCTCTATAATTTTAGAAAATCCGGAAGTGATATTTCGCGAGGCGCATTTTGTTTTGAGAGTATAAATCTTGATCTTATAATTTTTTGCATCTCTCTAGATTTATTGCCCCATTCCAGTAGAGTGTAAGCACCGATCATTCCTTTCATCGAAAGGGGGCCCAGCTAGTACCTCATAAACACAAATATTAGGATATACACAAGAAGCTGACTATCAGAAGAGTGAGGAGACATAATGTGACCACCCCAACCACGACATTCCAGTGTCCCCACTGTACAAGACATTGTACATCCAGGATCGATTGCACAGCCACATGCGCGTCCACAGATGAGCTGCAGGATTTCATCGTCATGTTTGGCTACGAAGGACTACCTACACAATGAGAATTGTGATTTGTGGGACATGAAAAACAGCACAAAATGTGTGGGATAAAAGCTTTCTCCTGCAGTGCTGAACAAAGCAGATCTACATCTGCAAGTTATGGCTCTTGTTCTGCACACATCATGGAAAAGAATGCGAGGAATGTGCAACTGAATTAAAGTTTCTGCAAATTACGCTGGATGAAAAAAGTACATGTATGTAACTCGAGTCACTGGGAATTTTGCTAAGGGCAAGTACTTTTGTTCACCCCATGCCTACCTGCCTGAATCGCTTGATTGTTTCTTTATTCTCTTTGGCTTAGGGCAGCCTGGTATTTGCTTTATTTCTGCCAGCTGATTTGGAGGAAAAAAACCACACTCAAATCCGACTTAAAGAAAGGTTGGTTCGTGGAAATGAAACTTCTATTGACCAGATCTTCCAGTTTTTGAATTAACACAGAACTTTTACAGAGTCGAGAAACCACCACACATTCTTTTCGGAAATTTGCGGAATACGTCCCTAGGCACGGTGTCACAAGGCGGGTACTGAGATGTGCACGTGTGTCCTCCGCACAACGACTCACGGGCTGGCTCGGCGGAGGCGCGAACGGCCGGGTGTGAGCTGCTCTCTCTCTCTCTATCCCTCTCTCTCTCTCTCTCTTTCTCTCTCTCCCT